CAAAGGGTAAACTGCATGATAGTCATATTACTTTCCAAGTTTTTTTTTAGATGTGAAAGTAGGTATACTTTTCCATAAAAGACTGGAGACGCACGTATTAGCTTCGGAAGTCTCTATAAATTCCGGCAATCCTGAGGGATAGATTCGATGTTTTTAGGCAACGGGCGAGCGGTGGGTGCCGGAGTTGGTGGCACTAAGGCACTTGATCCCTATGAGGCCGCACAAACGGTATTTCCGACACTGATTCGTCCGCTGCAAAAGTATCTGCGTGCCACGCGGCAGCAGTCACGTCATCCGGTGGACTCAGTGATCGATCACTTGGCAACTTGCATCACCTTTGGTCTCTCACCCCTCACCTTTTTGGAACGCTTCAATCCTGCAGCATCTACGCCGCAGCAAGACGCAGCGACAGCAGCCAACGCACTCACCGTGGCGCGTAATATCGCTCAACGCCACCGTCGTCCTCTCACCATTGCGGGTGGTGCGATGGCAGGGAGTGGAGGCGGGACAGAGGGAGGTGTTGAGGGTGCCGAGTACAAGCCTCCTGGTCCGCCAGTTGCTCCTGGCGGTCAACAGCTCTGGCAAATTGTGGCAGATCGTGCACTCTCTCGCGATCTCGCCGACGGTCTGGTCTTCCAGCTTAGGCGACAGCACGGTAATTGCGAGATCTCCCTCCTCTGTACTGTCCACCGGTTGCCCCTTCTACAACTCCTTGAGGTCGGTGCTGGTACCTCCGGCGCTATGACCTGAGGCATGCCCCACCATTTACCTGCTCGTGCGTGTGCATTTATTGACGAGGTACTGTCTTGACTTCTCCACTTCACTCTCCTTATCCTTCATAATTCTTGCCTCCCTACTCTCAACTGATCAAGCGCTGTCGTTTTGCTTTATGCCTTCATGCGTTTCACTTGCTCTCCCTCCTTTACCTTTTGTAAAAGACATCTGGTAAGGCATTTCTCTCTCATCTCATGATTTATAACAAAAAAATAAGTCGATATGCTTACTTTCCTTTACTCCTGAAATCAGTTCAGGCAAGCAATTTATTAAGGTGGTGAATTTGGTTAACTTTTATTGTGTTTTTCTACCGGTCGCCACTGGTTGGAAATGGGTTACGTGATGAAATGGTGCCAGTCGTTGCGTTGAATATGGTGGCCTACGAGGTCAGTGCTACTGTTACCGGTACCGAGAGATGGCGACGTTGACTGCTTTTCATGCCGATGAGTCACGTAGTTGCCGAAATCCCAAGACCGTGCTGCTGCGTAATGCTCTCCTACGCCAGACATGTGTTCAGGATCGGGAAACATCATTGAGGTAGTCCGGAGACTTGACAGA